AAGAAACAACACATTTAAACAGGCAGAACCAACAACTATAGCAAAAGAGAAGTGGTGCATGAAGACAAATGAAGGCCATTCTCAGCTACGTGAAGAGTCCAAGACCAGCCTGGGCTACAAGTCACTCTGACTCAAACAAAAGAAAAGAAGGAAAAGAAAGAAGAAAGGAAAAAGGGGGAAAAGAGGAAAAAAGGTGGAAAGGGGAGAAAAAGAAGGGGAGAAAAGGGAGGAAAAAGGGAGGAAAGGGGAGAAAAGGGGGGAAGAAAAAGGGGGAAGGGAAAGGATAAAGGAAAAAGCACATCCAGAGCAAACTCTAAGAATTCCACAACTTGAGACTTTAGTCTTTACTTGCTAAAATCTGAAGACAGAAAAAGTCTTGAGCTGGAAGTGGTTGGTGGCACACACCTATTATCCCAGCACTGGAGAAGCTAAAGAAGAATGATCACCCTCAAGGCCAGCCTAATTACCATTTATTTTAGCACACCCCCCCCAATAGCCACTCTCTGCACCTTTGTTTCTGACTTAACATTCTGTTACTAACAGACGAAAACCTTTTGGAATGTATTAACTTAGCAGACCACCAGTCTCCACCAACCAAAAGGCTAAATGCCATCAGAAATCATCTAAGACCTATAGCTAAAATTTCTTTTTTTTTTTTTTTGAATTACTGATTGATTGGTCTTTTTCAGACAGGGTCTCCCTGTAGCTCCAGCTGGCCTGGAACTTGCCATGTAGACCAGGCTGGGCTTGAAATCACAAAGATTCTCCTGCCTCTGCCTCTTACGTGCTGGGATTAAAGGCATGTGCCACCATGCCTGGCCTAAACTTCTCTCTTCAAAATTTTTTTTATTTATTATTTTTATTTTACGTGTATGAGTGTATTGCCTGCATGTATATAAGTGCACTCATGTCATGAAATGCCTGTGGAGGTCAGAAGAGGGTGTCAGATCCCCTAGAACTGAAGTTAGAATGGTTTGTACAACTACACACATATCATACATATTACAAACACACATACACACACACACACACAAAAGAAACAAAGAAAGAAAAAAGTATGGAAGGAAGGATGAAAGAAAGAAGGAAGGAAAGAAAAAAGACACGGGGAAAAGATTTGTACACAATCTTATTGAAATAGTAAAATACTGATTGATCATAACTTATGAAAAGTTACAAACCACTGAAAACATTAAATATATGCATATACAAATATTTAAACTAAAAAATTACAAAGGAATAAAAAAATTATAGTCAAAAGAAGGCAGAAAATGGGAAACAAACAAACAATAGAAACAGCAGAAAATAAAGAGGTAAAAATATAACCCTAAAAAGACATTGTCAGGTTGAATAAAAACATGACTCACCTATATGCTCTAACAACTTCATTTCAGATATAATGATATAGGAGGTTAAAAGGACAGGAACAGATAAATTACACAGAATGCAAAAATAATCAAGACAAATATAGAGAAATTTCAGAGCAATCAAAATTACCAGAGATAAAGAAGGATGATGTATGTTGATAAAAGGGCCAATTCACCAAAAGGACACAATAAACTATGAGTGCAATGCACTTAACAGAATAGCTTCAAAAAAAAAAAGCAGCAAAAAAGTGAAAAGAGAAACAGACAAAATCTGTAATTATAGTTCATGACTTCAACTTCCTCTCAGTATAAATATAACAGAAAAATCAACTTATCAATATGAATAGCTAACTAAATCAAATAGATATTATGGAAAACTCTACTCAAAAACAGCATAATAGGTCTAGGGATGTAGCTCAGTGGTAGAGTACTTGCATAGCACGTGAGACAGCCCGGGTTTAATTCCCAGCAATACATGCACACATACAAATGTTTTTCTCAGATGCACCAAGACTTTATCATGAGTTATAGGGTAACTGAAATCATATAGAATTTGTTCTTTATAATGGAACTGAACTACATAAAAATAAGACTGGTGTCAGAAAGACAGAATAATTTCCAATTGCTTGGAAATTAAATAACATCCTGACTGCTCTTGCAGAGGACCCAGGTTTGATTCCCAGCACCCACAATGGTGGCTACAAACCATCCTTAACTCTCATTCCAGGGGAATCTGAAGCCCTCTTCAGATCTCTGCAGCATTGCAATGACACGGGTGCACTCACATACATGTAGGCAATACACTCGTACACATAAAATAAAACAATAAAATATTAAAAAAGATGAAAGTAGAAATATTTTTAAAAATATTTTATTCATTTTTATAAGTATGAGTGTATCATCTGCATGTATGTAAATGCACCTGTGTCGTACAATGCCTGGGGTGGTCAGAAGAGTGTGATGAATTCCCCTGGAACTGGAGTTATGGACAACTGTCAGTCACCATCTGGGTTCTGGGAATCGAACTCAGGTCCTCTGAAAAAGCAGTCTGTGCTCTTAACCACAGAGCCATCTCTTTAGTCAAAAAGTGGAAATCTTAAAGCATTCTAGAAATCATTTAAAATGTAAAGTAGAATACAACATACCAAAATTTGTTGAATGTAGCTAGTGGAAAGGAGATAATAGGACTAAATACTTTCATCAGAAGAATCTGAAGTCAGTAATTCAAACTCCTCCCTTAAAAAATAGATCTTATAAAAACACCCAAATTAAGAAATTAAACAAAAACTTCTAAATAACTTATGATCAAAAATATTTTTAATTTAAAATATTTGGAACACAACAATGAAAGCATGTAATTTTGAAACTTATGAAATTGAATTTATGAAATTATTTTTAAAGGGAAATTTATAACTTTAACACTACATTTTATAAAAGAATAGCATCAAATTAATGATTGTACCTTTCCACACTAATTAGAAAATGAAGAGCAAAATAAACTGAAACTAGGCAGAAAGAAGAAAAAGTAAAATAAATCAATAAAAATAAAGTGGTTTTTGGAAAAGATTAAATTAACAAATAATAGGGACACAGGGACTAGAGAGATAACTCAGTGGTTAAAAACACTGGCTGCTCTTGCAGAGGACCTGGGTTTGAATTCCAGCACCCACATGGCAGCTAACAAGTGACTGTAACCCCAGTTCCAGAGGATCCAATGCCCACTTCTGGCCTTTGCAGGAAATGCACAACATGGGTGCACTTATATACACATAAAAGAAAAATAAATATTTTTTAAGTAGGGATGCAAAAGGGAAGATAATGTGCCTCTTGGGGGCTGGGGCACAACCAGGCAGATAAAGAGTACCTCTGTTCAAGCCCAGTGCTGCAAAACCAAACTAAACTTCAGAATTTTTTAAGCAGCACAGTGGTGCCCATCTATAGTTTCAGCTTCTCAAGAGGCTCAAGCCGGAAGATTGCTCAAGCCCTAAGAATGTGAGGCCAGCCTGAACAGCAGAGTAAGACTGCCATCTCAAAAATAAATAATACTTAGTATGTCATATGTTTGCAAATATTTGAGCATCAAGCTAATCATCCCTCTATATCAAACTAAGAGGAATAGAAAACAGATTAAATGAAGCCACAGGATGCAATTGTCAAAATCCAGAAAGAAGAAACTGCAAGCCAAACAAGCCAACTTCTCCAATAGAACACTGTAAGAAGCCAGGCGTGGTGGTGCATGCCTTTACTCCCAGCACTCAGGAGGCAGAAGCAGGCAGATTTCTGTGAGTTCCAGGCCAGCCTGGTCTACATAGTGAGTTCCAGGACAGCTTGGGTTACAGGGAGACCCTGTCTCAAAAAGATGCCCCCCCTCAAAGGAGACAGTGTGAGAAACAAATTGAAGGCAAGAAATAGTGTGAACTTCTCAACTAAAAAAGATACCACCCTATTACAATATTTGCAGTTTACACAAATGATGATTAAGACGTTCCTATGAGAAGTGGGTAAAGCAGAGGACTTGAGTATGGATCCCCAGCACCCAAGCAAATGCTGGTGGGTGTGGTGGCTGCCTATAATCCCAGTGCCTACCCCAGAGGTGGAGACAGATCTCCAGGGTAAACTGTCTACCAAGACTAACCAAATCAGCAAACTTTGGGTTCAAATGAGATACTCTGCCTCAATATATAAGACAGAGAGCAATAGAAGAAGATGCCTGAAGTTAACCTCTGGCCTCCACATGAATGTGCACATGGGTATAAGCACACTTGCACAAGCAAGCAAAACATTTAAAATTATTAATTTTAGATGTGATAATAGTATGTTATCTATGTGTTGAAAGAGAGAACTCTATTTTTCTAATGACACAGAAATATTTAAGGATGAAAAAAGCATCAATCATATGATTAGGAATTTCCTTTAAATAATCGAGGAATTAGAGGGAGTGGGTGGAGCTGAGATGAAACAAAACCGGAAATAAACTTAGTGTCAAAGGTCTGTTGTAATGAAACATGGAGTTTCATTACATAATTTATTTCTGAATGTTTGAAGTTTCTGAAAGTCATTTTTAAAACCATCTTCAAGAAGGACTATGTAAAAAAAAAATCAATTGCACTTGCCTAGAAATGTCAGATTCAGTGTAGGGCTCTCCCAAATATATTTGCATTTTCACACAGAGCTGAAGCCTTAAAACAAGGGAGTAAGTCTCATGGTGTATTCTAAGGACTGGTAAGTTGGTGAAAGCTTTCATTTATTTTTAAGAAGAGAAATACTGCCAACAAATGTGAAGTTACATCAGATATACTAAGAACCAACCAATTCTGAGCAAGCATGTGGCTTTGAACACAGTGTGGTGCTGGTGCTGTACCAGGAGGACCTGCAGGTCAGTGAGATTACCTGCTTCTTCATGCAGAATAAGAGCACAATTCATTTAAACATCCACGCTGTTCCACCAGGTTTACAGTCTGCATTTTTGAACCTCTAAAATGTTTAGAAATTCAAAGTATATATAAAAGTTCAAGTTTTAAAATTCTAGTATTTTTTGATACCTAATGTTATTTATTCCAAAAATAAAGAAAAAAAGGGCAATCTTTTAAAACAATTTAGAACTGCTTATATAGACATAAATGCAAGTTTACATACCTTGCCTGGACTGTGAAGGTGCTACAGGAACTTCTTGGTTTGGCTCAAAAGGAAGCTCAGGTGTTAGATTTTCAAACTGCTCTTTACTAATGAGAGTTAGCTTCTTAAAGTTCTCAACTTCTGGCTGAAGTAGAATGGAGGAATCTAATTACTAAACTAAGAAATTAGCCAACAGACAATAATTGATACCAACCTAAAAAATTGAGTTTATAGAACAGAAACTAATTGCAGTGTAATAAAAAGGATGGTCTAATAAAGAATCTAGCATCATATCTAATAACAATACTCAAAGTTTAAAGGAGGCATAGAAACCCTGAAATATTATGAATATTTTATAACTGAAAACATTGTAAAGGCATACATACTAGTCATCAGTTATTTGCTGGGCATTTATACATTGGGACACTGGGTATTATCAAATTTACCTAGTAATAGAAGACATGACCAACCTTTAAGGGATTTTTTTTTTTTTTTTTTGAGACAAGGTCTCACCATGTAGGCCATGCTGGCCTGGAGCACAGAGATTGTACCTACCTCTGGCTCCTGAGCATTGGGGTTTAAGATGTCATCACACCTAACTTCCTTAAGGGATTTTTAAGTCCAGTGGAAAGAAATGTACATATAAAAATAAATAAGTATAAGATGATATATAAAGAGTAATATTCACTCTAAGAATTGAGATCTGTAGAAAGATACAACAGAAAAGATGGGACAAAAACAGTCCCTGAAGGATGAGAATTTACAGAAAGAGATAATGCATTCTAGATTAGAAATTGTGAGCAGACATGAGACACTTCAAAAAGGCAACATATTAGAAAATTAAGTGAATGAGAAAAATGTATAAAACAGCACATTTAAAAGGCCTAAGGAACTTGGAGAGAGCTACTAGAAGACAATATTAGTCAAGAACTTTTTGCTTCACTTTCTAGTTATAGAATCCATATGATAAATGATATATCTGGATGACCCTGGAGATTAATTTCTGAACCCCTTTTAGTAGTTTAGCAGTAAGGAAGCTTGGGAGGTTTGAGTTGTTAGCTCAAAAGAATGGACCCACCCCTGTCTACAGGCTCCTTCTGTCTTGACTGATAAATTTAGATGTCCCCTATACTGATCTACAAATGTGCAGGACACTACTATAGAGGCAGAGGCCACTGTCTCCTGGAAGGTCATCTGGGCATGTGCCTGGCATAAGTTATAGGATAAGAAAAGAACTGGAGGTGCTGATTAAAATCTACTACTTCTAACACTGCCCCCAATAAACCCTGTGTTACATCTATACCATGTGGGCAATATCCAAAGAGGGTTTAAGTAAGTAAAAATCAACCCAGAAGTATTTGTCAGATGGAAGCAAATTAAAAACAGCCTTACAAAATAGTTATAAAAGTTTTCTCTGAATAGCAAACCACAGAATTTTACCATCTTCAGATAGTAGTTATTTACAGACTCATATAATTTATTAGATAAAACCCTGTTTGCCTTTTAGACTATTGTTTACATTTGGAAAGGGGTCATGTTGGGGAGGATATAGGGAGGAGTGAAAGGGAAAGGAGGAGATGAGGGGTTGATATAATGAGATTTTTCTGTATACAAGTATCAAATTCTCAAAGAATTAAAAAATTGTTTTTTAAAAGTACCTTAAGTAATAACATCGACTCCTGACTTTATGCCACAATTTCTTCTTCTAAAGTTTTATAGGGGCTAAAAGTGTTAGCTGAATGACTAGGGGGGAAAAATTTGGGGGCTTGAGTTGTGGCCCAGTAGTAGAGTGCTTGCTTAGTATGTGCAATGCTCTGGGTCTGATCTAGTACCAGAAAAAAAGTGAAACTGATCTTCACTGCCTTTTATCTTGGAACAGTGCTTGTTATTAGCAATTCCCAATTCAATTCAATAAATAATTTTCATATGTTAACCACATGCCATTCTGTTTTTTTTTTTTTTTGAGACAGGGTCTTCCTGTAGACCAGCTGTCCTGCAACTCACTATGTAGACCAGGCTGGCCTTGAACTCACAGAGATCTGCCTCCCTCTGCCGCTGGAGTGCTGGGATTAAAGGTGTGCACCATGCCCAGCATGCCATTCTGTTTTTAACACAATCTACCTGGATGGACTACAAATAGTGTATGTTTTCTCTTTCAATTTTTAAAATAAATTGGTATAAACACAAACTAGAGCAGCACACAAATCAAAAGTGCACATCTCAGTGAGTAATTAAAAAGCAAACAAGGGGGCTGGAAATGCAACTCTGCAATGAGTTTGCCCACTGTGAACAAGACCCTGGGCACAATTTCCAGCAACTACAATATATACACATTGAACAGAACTGTGTGGTCACAATTCGGGTAGAGACTAGTAGCACTAGTAGCATCCTAAAAGCCTCTCTCATGCCTCTTCCTACTACTATGTCTTCTCCTTTACTAAAGATAAACAATATGCTGACTTCATTACCATAGATTCATTTTGCTTCTTTGGGGCTTTATAAAAATGCACTCATAACTTCTGTCATGCAGGACTATGTATATAACTCACCACTGTGTATGTAATATAAAAAATTTATGATGTTACAGTAAGTTAACAAACTACACACACACACACACACACACACACACACACACTTATATGTATACCCACCCACAGCCAAAATCTGCTTTCATGACTTTTTTTGGGGGGGGGAACACAACCACACTCATTTTCTTACCATGACTGCTTCATCAGCATAACTGCAGAACTGAGTAACTGCCAGATAATATGGCTCACAAAGTCCAAATTATTTACAGATGACATTTATCTGTATAAATTCCAGTGGGGTGGCTATGGGAGGGTACCAATGGGGAAGGGGGTATAAAGATGATTAAGATTGACTGAGATGTTCCATATGAAATACACAAATATTTGATTAAAAAATTAAAACAAGCTGGGCATGGTGGCGCACACCTGTAGTCCCAGTACTTGGGAGTCAAGAGGCATACAGATCTCTGTGAGTTCAAGGCCAGCCTGGTCTATAAAATGAGTTCCAGGACAGCTGGGGCTACAGGGAGACCCTTTCTCAGAAAGACTAAATAAATAAATAAAGAAATAAATAAACAATCAAACAAACATAAAAACCCTCAATTTCTTTTAAAATATTTTATTTATTTTTTTATTTTTTATGTGTATGCGTGTATTGCCTGCATGTAGGTAAGTGCACCCATGTCATGCAATGCCTGTGGAGGACAGAAGAGGCCGTTTGATCCCCTGGAACTGGAGTTACAGACAGTTGTTAGCTGCCATGTGGGTGCTGAAATTCGAACCTGAGTCTTCTGCAAGAACAGCTGGTGTTCTTAACCACTAAGCCATCTCTCAAGCCCCCCAAAATAAATTAAAACATAAAAAACCCTCATTTTCATAAACAGAGATACAAATTTTTGTTGCATATTTACCTGGGGGCGGGGGGATGCCAAATCAGACAGCATGCATCTCCTTAATTTTAATAAAAATCCCAGACTGTGTTTCTAGTGGTGCTACCTGTTTACGACCCCATCAGCAACAGAGTAAGATCTTACTACACTATCTCTGCGCCAACAATTGGTATTATCATCTTTGAAAACTTGGTCACCTTGACAAAAAGCAAACCCAACACAAAACTATGGAGTATGAGTGATAATACTATCTGGGTAGATTTACAATTTTAACAAATGTACTGTGGTGAGGGATGCTAATAATATGGGGGATATGGAAAATATGTCTTCTGCCCAACTTTGCTGTGAACCTAAAACTTGTCTAAGAAATAAGAATTCAAAACCATTTTGACAAAGACCAAACTATGGATACACAATATGTTGGACAGATCTCAAGGGCATTATGACTGAAAGATACCAAATTTAAAGGATTACAAATTGCATGGTTGTTCCATGCACAGAACCTTTTCAAAATGACTAAGTTTTAGAGATAGAAACAGATTAGTGGTTGCTAAGACTTAGGCTTTATGGAGGTGGGGCAGGTGGGCTTGGTACCAGAGAGATTATGATGGTAACATTTCAGTGTCTTGAATGTTGTAGAATTTGAATGAATCTACGTGTAATAAAGTAGCATAGAAATGTTAGAGTAACTGGGAAATATGAGGAACAACAACCAATTCAATGGTTAAGTACAACATATCTGGGTAGAGAGAGAAACAGATGTAAGGTAACCAAGGAAATTACAGTTTTTATCTTAGTAGCTGTGTCTCCTGATGGCTGAAATATCCCATTGTAGTTCAACCTCCTTAAAGCTACAGTTAGATTCTTCTCACTGTTATTAGAAAGTAAGGTTCTGGGGCACTATCCCAATATCACACATGCCTATCAACTAGCATCCTGATAAGAAGGGAGTAAAAAACCACAGGATCATTTTGACCCTGGAGGCACATATAGTAGAGAGGATAGTATCCAAGGAGAGGAAATTAATGACATTACAAGAGGAAGGGGACTAAAAGAAGCTTCTTAAAAATCCACAAGATGGGCTGGAGAGACAGCTCAGTGGTTAAGAACACTGGCTGTTCTTGCAGAGGACCTGGGTTCGAATCCCAGCAGCCACATGGCAGCTAACAACTGTCCATAACTCTAGTTCCAGGGGATCCAACAGCCTCTTCTGACCTCTGTGGGCATTGCACAACATGGGTGCACTTACCTGCATGCAGGGAGTACACACATACACATGTAAAAAAAAAAATTCAGCCCGGCCCAGTTCTGACCTCCTTCTGCTTCCCTGGGCCTGCATGACCTGCAGGCCTCTCTCGGACCCGATCCACAGGCCTCTCTCCAGAGTTAAGACTGCCCTCCTCACTTTGACTCCCCCAGCCTCATTCACCCTCCCATCTCCCCTGCCGGTCTCTCCTAGTTTGGGTCCTGTCCCATTCCTTGTCTTGAGGCCCCAGACACCTGGGAAACCAATACCGATTCCTGATCCTTTTCATCCAGACCAATATAGTGCCTTCTCTGGGCCCCAGGAGCACTGCTTCTGGGCCTGGCCCTGCACTCACATCCCTCTGCTTCCCGTGGCCTGCAGGACCCTCCGGAGGCCTCTCTCCTACCCGCAGGCCTCTCTCTGGGGTAAGTCCATCGAGCCCTCCAAGCCTTGACTCCCTCAGCCTCATTCACCCTCCCCT